TTTTTTTTTATTGTAAATATTATTTTTTAATTTTTTTTTTTTTTTTTTTTTTTTTTTTTTATCTTTGAAAATAAAATAATATATACATATGTGTGTATATCTACTATTTTTAATAAATAAAAATCTCCAAAAATTTTTTAACAAATTTAGGTTCATTAAATATCTATAAAAGTAATTCTTTAAATTAAAAAAAAAGTTATACAAATAAGTTAAATATATATATTAAAACTTTGTCTTTTTATATGTTAAGTTATTGTAAGTATTTTATTGTATTTCAAAGAATGATATCCTTCTTTTTAAAAAGATAAAATTAATATCTAGTATTAATGAAATATTTCTAACATTATAAATTAATATTTCCATAAAGACATCTTATATGAAATATATAACAAAAAATTTTATGCAACATCACAAATATATTTACATTAATTTATATATACATATATATATATATATTTATATATATATATATATATATATATATATATATATCTTTTTTACTTCTAAAAAAAAAAAAAAAAAATAGTAAAAAAAATAACTTTTAATTTATATATGAATTTTTTAATATAATTCTAAATAATTAGAACAATCATTTTTACCTTTTTTAATTTGTTTTATGAAAAAACTTACATTTAATAATAAAAAAAGAAATATCTATACCAATTATAAATTTTCATTGGTTTTTTTTTTTTTTTTCTATTTTATCATTTTATATTTTTATTAATTTTAATAACATTATTAACCTTCTTGGAACTATTTTTCCATTACTACTTTTACAAATGATAAAATTCGTTTTCTCGTAAAACCATTAGTGCATTTTTATGAAAATAATAAAATAAATAAAAAAAATATTTTGTTTTGATATATTGCATTTTATAACTCTTTATTATTTTAAGTTGATCTTATGTGAAAAATAAATTTTTATATTTTTTATTACAAATATACATATTTATTGAAGAGAAATTCATTTTCTAATTTTATGAGAAATTCTTTTAAATTTTACACATTTTACATAAATTATAAAAAAATTATTTTTATATATAATTTAAATTTGTTTTTTCTATAACAATTATATATATAAATACTTTTTTCTATGATTTGTCATTTTTAATTTTTAGTTTTTTAAACTATTAAAAAAAAAAAACATTATTGAACAAAAACATGCACATTAATTTCTCATAAAAAAAAAAAAAAATAAAATAAAATAATAAAATAACATAAATATTTAAAAAAAATAACAAAATAAATAAAAAAAAAAAAATTATATATCTCCATAACAGAAATACTTTTTTTATATAAAGAATAAGAAAACATTAACTAAAAATATTATACAATTTTATATTAATTATTATATAAAATATGATATAAATTTTAATATATATGAAATATATGATAAATTAATTCTCTTTTATTAACTATTTTTATAAATTTTTTTGTCAAAATGTTAAGCACAATATTTTCTATACTAATAACAATTTTAAAACTTTGTATAGCAACTTCACCAATAATATGTATTGTTTTAATTTTTGTATTCAATAAAAATAATGTCCCTGATGATAAAAAAAGAAAACCTGATTTTTATTTTGAAGTAGATTAAAAAAAAGCATTTATATATTTGAAATAAATGGAAAAAAATAATTTTGATGAAATCATAAAAAGATGAAATAAAGTAGATAAATAGAAAGACAGGACGTGCAAGAATACAATATTTATATATTTGTACAAATAAGAATATTTTAACATATTTTATATTAATGATAAAAAGAAAAAAGATTAAATTAAAGAAAAGAAATAGGTAATACATTAATTATAATTTTTTAAAACTTATATTTGTTTAAATATGACATTAATGGAAAATAAAATTAAGCTATATATACAATATTCCTATATAAATTACAAAAATAGAAAACATATAATACTTATAAATGGAATATTTTTTATTATCTATTTAAAAAACATAAATATATATATATATATAATATTGTTTATATTTTAAAATTACTTAAAGTTTTATTTTAAAGAGAAAAATAAATTATTTTTCTACTTTTGTTATATATATATATATTTATATATTTTTCATTTTTTATATCAAACATTTTCAGTTTTTTATGTTAACTAGAAGTTTTACATATATTAATACATTTTTTTTTTTTTTTCTTTATATATAACATATATTATATTTTAATTATCTTATTTCTTTTTTTTTTTTTTTTTTACTTTTTTAAAAATAAAAAACAATGACAAATAAGATATATATAAAAAAAAAACTTTATTTTATTTTTATCATTTTGCAAAAAAATAAAGTTTTTGTCTTATGTTTTTAATAACTTATGAATTTTACTTTGTTTGTAAAACACCCTCCTACAAAATGTAAGTGCATTAATAATATCCTTGTGTTCATTTTTTTCTTTTTTCATTTTTTTAGATAACAAAAATAAAGTAAAAATAAAAAAAAAAAAAAAATAATTTATTAATATTATTAGGGAACTACATATCAGTAACACTAAAAAATTATCTCTACGTAAAATATTTTATTTACAATATTTGCAGGCATTTATATTTTAGTATAATAATAAAAATAAAGAATTAATAAATAGTTATTTTTTAAAAAAAAAAATTCTTTATTTTTCATTTAAAATGACATTTTCAATATTTAATTTATAATATCGTATAAATAAAATGTAATATTCTAAAATTATTTTAATACAAAAAAATTTTTATAGAAATCTAAAATGTCTTATTACATATATAGTTAAGATAAAAAAGAAAAAATTAATTAAAATAAATCAAATTGCATAATAAGTATATTATTCATTATTTATTATTATTATTTTTTTTTTTTTTTTGAGAAAATGAATAATAATTCCAATACTTATAACAACAACAATAATTACAAAATTTCTAACAATAGCATTAATAATATTAACAATTTTCATAGTAATATTGATAATAATTTTAATAGAAATGTTAATACTACTACAAATGCATATAACAGTTTTAATAGTAATGATAATAGGAATATTAATAATAATATAAATACTTATATTACTACTATTTATAATCCTACTACTAATAATAATGAGTTGGAAGATTCAAAAGAAAATAAATTAAGTAACATTGAAAATGAAAATGAAAAAAGTGAGACTAGTGAAAATAAACACAAATCTCATATAGAAACACTAAGAAAATTAAAATCAAACCAAGAAATTGTAATATAAATAATTAAAAGAGAACAATAATAAAATAAAAGAATAATAGAATTATATACTAAGTCTTTTACCTTTTTTTTTTTTTTTTTTTTTTTTTTTTTTTTTTTTTTTTTTTTTTTTTTTTTTTT